TTGGTATGTGGTGCTGAGGATCGAACCCGGGCCGCACGCATGCCAGGCGAGCGCGCTACCGCTTGAGCCACATCCCCAGCCCCATGGGGCACTATTTTTATTGGAAGTGAATATAAATAAAAGTGACAGGTGTTTAAGGGAGGGGAGGATGGAAGCCTATTTACAAATGTACACCCTGGGTGGGGCTTCACCTGGTCCCAGCCTGGGAGGGCTCAGAGGAAGGCAGGCAGCATCAGGAAGGCCAGCAGCACCATGTGGGCAGCCAGGCAGGGTGCTGAGTTCTGACCAAGGCGCTGCTGGCCTTGAGTGTCTCGCTGCTGGCCACCCTCCCTCCCTGACTGGAACTGCAGCTCAGGGATGATCCCCTGGATCCAGTTGTGGTGGGAAGTGACCCGGATGTAGACACCTGGGCGGTTCCGGCGTGCGCAGCCCTCGCCCCAGCTGATCACCCCAGCCTGCACCCATGACTGGTCCACAAGGCACACCAGGGGGCCCCCTGAATCACCCTACAAGGGAAACATAAGCCCCATTAGAGCCCAGGACCAGCCTCAGGGGGTAAACTTGCACTTATTGTTAGTCCCTTCCCAGGAGCCTCCTGCCTCGCCCCCATCTGCTGGTCCCACCTCTGTGGACTAGGGTGTTCCAGTCAAGTTCACCCCTGGTGGGGAGAGTTAGAAATGCAGCTTCCTGGGCCCGCCCAGATCCTAGGACTACTCCCAGGCTAGGGATGATGGGCACACAGCCCACCTTAGCCGGGGTACAGGTCAGGGCTGAGTCACCAGCTCGCCACACTGCCCCTACCTTACAGGCATCCTTCTTGCCCTCTGCGAAGCCTGCACAGAGCATGTCATCCTGGATGGTTCTGGGCTGGAAGCCAGACTCAGCATCTTTGCTGTAGAGCAGGTTGCACTTGGGCGTGTCAATAATGGGCACTGCAAGCTTCTGAAGGATCCTCGGATTGGGCAGGCGGTCTGAGGAGGGTCATGGCAGTCTGTGCTCAGTGGGCAGTCCAGCCAGAACCTCGTGGTCCTGGGTTCTTGAGAACCACAGCTGCCTGTCCCTCCCCAAGTTTCCTTTGTGTTTAGACCTTCTTTTCTGCTACAGGGCTTTGTAAAACTGCATTCCTCTTCCTTTCTTCCCCACACCAGACTGGGCTTCCTGTCCCTGTCTCTGTGGCTCCTGGAATGGCTGCTCCATTCCTAGCCCCACCCCATTTGTTTCAGGACAGGATATATATATATATAAGGATATATATATATATACACACACACACACACACATACATACATACACACACACACACACACACACATATATATACATACCAATATCAACAGAAAATGGTTGTTGGTTCTGGACCTTCTCCAACACATCCCCCTTTATCCCCTGGCTCTGCCCCTTACCTTGCTCGCTGGGACTGCCCCAGCCAGTGACCCAGCAGTTCATGTCCTTCTCAAAGACAACTGAGGGATCAGGCACACACACCGGGAGGATGTAGTTGGTGAAGGCCACGGGTGCCTCTAGCTCCACCAGGGCCACATCAGCACTGGAGGCCATGCCCTGGTACAGGGGGTTGCTCTCCACCCGCCTCACGTGGGCATACACGGCATGTGGCCCTGGCTGCAGCAGCTGGCGTGCCCCCAGCAGGACTCGGTACAGAGATGTTTCTGAGGTGCTGGTGGAAAAGAGCATAGAGCTGGTGTGAGCCTCCCTGCTAGGCAGCAGGGAACTGGGGGAGGGCATCTGGCTCACCACACTGCCTGGCATCTCTACACATTGTCTCCCAAAGTGTCATCACTAGAGAGCTGCCCAGCAAGTGAGGGGGCACAGAAGCTGAAGTTCTGTCCCTGGTACCAGGTGACTTAACAAATTCTCTAACTCAGTTTCCTCATTTGTAAGGTGGGGATTGAAAGGCCTGTTGTTTGAAGGAGATGACAATCCCCAGGTAACGCAGGGCCCAGCCCTGCCTGTGTGCCTTAGGCAGGCTGTGTGGTCTCTGAGGCTGAGTTTCTGAGTGTAGGATATGGACTTTCAGAAGAACCACAGGGCTTTGGTGAGGTGGGGGGTGAGGCACTTGGGAAACCCCAGGGGCTGGGACTGGGTGGGGTGGGGATCTGGCCCCCTACCCAGGTACTACATAGGTGGCCATAGAAGGATGAAGAAGATAGGGTATGCTCTTCAGAACTCTGGCTTGTCTGATACCAGAGAGAGGTGGATTGAGGTGGGTCAGGACTCCAGGTGCGCAGGGCCTTGGTGGAAAGCCAGCTGATGGGAGCAAGGGCTGGGGTCAGGGATCGCAGCTGGGAGTTAGGTCTGGCTTGACCTAAAGGAAACTCCTAGCTGGGAGGGATTGCTGGACAGGCAGCAAGGCAGCAGCCCACAGGCCTGCAGTGGCTCAGCGCTGTCCCTGGTGCTGAACTGGCTTACTCTGGTCATTTGGGGGGACAGGGCAGGTGGGGGCTCACTCACTTGGAGAAGCAGTGTGCTGCGGTGAGGACCCACCGTTCTGTGATGAGGCTGCCTCCACAGAAGTGGCTCCCATTGCGCTGGATACTGACCTGCCAAGGCCACTCACCATCCATGGCATCCTGCCCGCCCACCATCCGGTTCAGCATCCTGGGGTGCCCACAGGCTGGGGGAACAGGGGATGCTCCCTGGGGGCTGGTTCCATGGCCCTGATTCCAGCCCCAGTACCACACACCAACTTCTGCTCTGCTCAATTCCTGGTCTTCCTGGCCCCTGACCTGCTCGGGGACCTTGGGAAGTCAGAAGCCCAGAGCATTGATTGGAGTTTGATATAGGGAGATTCCCCCAGCCCTGCCCACCATTATTCTCAGGCCCTCACTGTGACCTGCCCTGGGACTTTGTAAAACCTGGTTTCCACGTCTTGTCCAGGTCTGCTTCATGCTCTGTGTTCTTGAATGGTCATGAGGGTTGAGCTATCCAAGGCCTGATGCAGCTCATGGAAGTATGGAAGCCAGGCATTGATTATCCTTCACAGGTAGGTGGCCCTGAGGGGCAGGCTTGGTGCAGTGAGACAAGCCTCAGGTCTGTGCTGGCCCTTTTCCTGACCCTGTGCAGTGCTTCGTGCCTGCTGTTCCTACCATGTCTTGACTTGCTGGGTGTGTGGTGGACCTTCTTCCTTTTCACTCCTTTCTGGGCTCCAGTTCTGATAAGCCACTGCCAGATGCCCTGCGCATTCCTCTGGGTCTTTCTTATTTATTTATGTATTTAGTAGTGAGGATTGAACCCAGGGGCTCTCTACTGCAGAGTTACATCTCCAGCCATTTTACTTTTTCATTCTTTATTTTAAGTTGCCAAGGCTTGCATTGGACCTAGGATCCTCCTGCCTTAGCCTCCCGAGTTGCTGGAATTACAGGCATGTGCCTCCCTACCCAGCTTCCTTCTGCGGCTCCTTGCGTGTGATGTGGGGGATGGTGGTGGTGGTGGTGGTGGTGGGGTGTGTGTGTGTGTGTGAATGGTGGGTGGGTGTTCTGGCCCATCCTGCAGCTCTCAGTCACGCCTGCTTACCTCTTAGAGCCTTGGCCCCCTGAGTTCCTGAAAGTGAACAAAAGGGATTGTCAGCCAACTTTTCCTATGCCCAGGTCTGTCCTTCCTTCACTTGCCTGTACTCCCTCCCCTCAGGATAGCCATAGAGATCCAGAAGGAGAGAGCAGGAATCTTCAGCTACTCCAGGTCTGGCCTGTGGCAGAGCTTATCTGCAAGGGCAGCAAACTACTGTCCACATGGCAGGCCAACCAGGAGAGGCCAGTGTGGTGACCCTGTGACTCGACTTCCCCTGCTTGGAGCAGGATGACTCCTTTCTTGTCCCTTCAGGATTCTTTCCCTCTATGGTCCATCTCTGTCCAGGTCTGGAAGCTTTGAGGTTAGGGAATAGAACTGCAGTACTGGTGCGTGGGGTCTGCCTTTCCCTTGGAGCCGCAAGGAGCTGGGGAGTGAGGATGCCCTGGAGCCACCTGGGGCTTTGTAAAGCCTGGTTTCCAAGTCTTGTCCAGGTCTGCTTCATGCTCTGTGTTCTTGAATAGAATTCCAGCCCTGCAGCCACAGGGGGCAGCCTCCTGAGACTCCAGGGGCTGAGCCTGCTCCCAGGCCAAGAACCCTTGCTTCAAGGGACTGACAGAAAAGTGGAAGACAGCAAGCACCACTCTGGGTGAGGTGGGGACGCCTGAAATTCCATTTCCCAAGGCCTCTCACCCCCACACCCATTGCTGTGCTTAACCCAGTCCTGGTCCAGGCCCCCTGGTGAGAGACCTTTTAGCTCCACCCTCCCAGTTGTCTGTCCCTGGGGCAGGCATGTCAGACTGGAAGGGGTCCAGGAGAGCCAGCTCTCCCTGTGGGGCTCCATATGTTCACTAAACCCCAGCCACTTTAAGAACCCAAAGGTTGGGCTGGGGATGTGGCTCAAGCGGTAGCGTGCTCGCCTGGCATGCATGCGGCCCGGGTTCGATCCTCAGCACCACATACCAACAAAGATGTTGTGTCCGCTGAGAACTAAAAAATAAATATTAAAAAAAAAAAAGAACCCAGAGGTGGGGGCTGCTCTTGTCAACCTTACCCAACCCAGGGACTTGCTGAGCCATGCGTGGCCTGGGGTGCCCAAGGACCCTAAGGATTTCAGAGGTCCTCATTTTTCCTGCCAGGCTCCCGTTCCACACAGTCCTCAGTGCACAGCACGGCAAGTTTCCCTGGGCAGGGATGGATGGTGAAGGGAGGGGCAGCTGTGGACCAGGTGACAGGAAGCTAAGGCTCAGGGTAGGACTATTCACTTCTCAAAGTGGGGGTGCCAAGAAGAAGTGGGGGACAAGTGTGATGTCAGCCCAGATAGGCAGTTGGAAACAGGAAGGGTGCCCTGGACTGTCCTCTGAGTAACTTGTGTTCACAGTTAAAGTGTGAATGCCCCAGGGAGGGTTGTCTTCCATCTTAGTGTAATATCTTATGATTAGATTTCCAGCACCTAACCCTCTGCCCTTCCTGAGGCCTGAGGATTCATTTTTCAAATGCTGCTCCAGCCAACCACCCTCTGTCCACATTGGCATGAACATACTGGATGACCCTTTCTCTCCCTCCAGGAACTTGGAAGAGCCTCTTCTCTCCCAGTTCTCTGCCTGAGTCCCCACAACAGGCCCTCCTCACCATCAGACCCACCCTCCCTGCTGCAGCTCTGCTGCTCCCAGTGGGCCCCAGTCCAGATGGAGGCGCCAGCACTGCCTCCTCTGGGAGCCCTCCTCCCTTGCACTGTCAGTCTCAGAAGCCTTGCTGGTTCCTAAGCTCTCTGTCCCACCTGGAAACTCATCTTACACACAGACCTAGGAGCTCAAGACAAAGCCATGCCTAGGGGCCTGAGCTCAGGGAATGTGTGGAGGGACAGAATGGTGGTGGGGGTTGCTGACCTAGAGAGCTGAGCTCTTCAGGGCAGGCATCCTGTCAGGGGCCAGCAGCATGGGCACGGATCAGCCCCCAGGCCCAGGGCTTCTGAAGCTCCTGTAGCTGGTGGAACCAGATGAGGCCTAAGCTACTAGGAGGGACCCCCTTGACCCAGCCTCCAAACTGCAGGCCGCTGTTTCCACTTTGGCAGTGACCTTGATTGCCCAACAGGCTGGAGCAACCACAGCGTCAAACCTCTGTGGAAATGAACTCTCAAAGAATGGTGTTATCCTGCTGTTACCTAAGGCCAGGAGTGGGAGGCCAGCCAGTGAGGCTGGGGGAGGTTAGCACAGCCCAGTAGAGGTGTCCACCTGGTGCCCTCCTACCCCTGGGGACAGGAATCCTAAAGCCCTGGCTAGGCTATGGTCTGAGTGACCTGGCCTGCCCTGGGAGGTGATCTGAGGACAGGGAAGTATGGTGGCTGCTGGGCTGGCCCAGCTGGCCCAAGAATGTGGGAGAGTTTCCCTGGTAGAGAGCGGCCCGCCCTGCAGGGAGAGGCCTGGCAGATGGGGGCCCTGGCTGGAACCTGCTGACCACAGCCTAGGATTGGCAGTGCACTGCCTGATTCTCTGTGGGCATGAGGGTGGGACCCTCTGCAACCTGTCCTCATCCCCCAGCTCTCTGCTCAGCCCCCAATCAGCCTCCGTGGGCTCCAGGCTCAGGTGGCAACTCCAGCTTAGTCCTTTTCCCCAACCTAGTTGACAATGGCCCAGGGATTTGGAGCTCACCTGACCTAACTTCAACTCCTGCACAAATGAAGTCTTTCTCTGGGGAAGTGGGGAGAGTCCACTGTGAGAGGAAGCAGGGGAGCCCATGCCCAGTGCCTGGCACACTGTGAGTGCCTGAGGAAGGTGGAGAGGTGCCCTTGCCAGACTGCAGCTTTGGGGTCCTGTCAGATCTGCACCCACAGGCCCCATCTTGCCTTCCCCACTTCATACCCACCCAGGTGGAACATCTGGAGTCTTCCCACCTGCCCTGGGGGCCCAACCATTGGGTCGGGAAGAGGAGGCCCATCCTGTAACTTTAGGTAGGCCTTGGGAGCAGGGGCTCAGTTGGAGCTTCAGGCAGGGCAGAGGGCTCCTGGGGTTGGGGGGCGGGAGGGGCAGTCAGATCTGACTTGACCCAGGACTCACCAAGCCACAGCAGCAACAGCAGCGGTGCAGGGGGTAGGGGCTGCCTCATGTTCTCAGCCTGGTCCAGCTGAGTGGGGGGTCAGAGGTGGCAGGAGCTCCTGGCACTAGCGAGTTGCAGGGCTCCATGAAGTGGGGTTTTATGCTGTAGGTGAGTGTTGTTCCTGCTATGCCACCCAACCTGTCAGCCCAGCCCATCCAGCTCTGCTCCATCAAGAAGGAGGTGCCCCAGAACCCTGGCTCCTCACTGACCTGGTCCTGAACCCCTTGAACCCCGCAGGCCAGACCCCTCACCCCACACACCCTCGGGTGCTGGTGCCAAGATGTGCCTGTTTTTTTATGTGACCTGGGGACTTGTGCCCTGGAGTCCCCCCACCATGAGCTGATCGGCCACTCCCCAGCAGGCCCAGACCCCCCCACAACTGATCACAGTCCTCATCTGTGTTGGAGCAGCTCCCCCATAAGACCCTCGGTTCATTCATTCGATATTCATGAGCACCTTCTGCGTGCCCAGCTTCCAAGAGGACGGCCTTAACGCTCTCACGGAGGCGGGATCTGAGGACGGGCACTGAAGAGTCGGGCGTGGGGCGCTTGTGCAGCAAAGAAGCGCCGGGGGAAGTGGGACCACGGGCCGCAGAGCCCCGCCGGCGCGCAGCCCCGATGGAGCCCGGGCGGGCGGGGCGGAAGCCATTCCGGGAAGGCGGCGGGTGGCAGGCCGGGTGGCTGTCCCGCGCCTGCCCTGGGCGCGCCCGCCAGGTCCAGGACGATCGGCCGCGGCGGAAGACGTCCGAGAGGAAGTTATTTGGGACACTGGACTGACGTCAGAGCAGGAGTCGGGGCCGGGGCGGACACGCCCTCCGCGTCCGCGGGTCGGTGTCCAGGTGCAGGGAGGGCCCGGGACGCCGCCCTGCCTCGGTTGCCTGCGCGTGCGGTGGGCGTGTCGCGGTGCCGTCGGCCCGGCCTGCCCCCTGGTGGCCGCCAGGCGCGGAGCTGTCCCGCCGCCGGGGCCGCCCATTGTTTCCCTGTCCCCCGCGACCCCTGGGTCGTCCCCAGGCGCGGAACGCCTTCCCTCCGACCCTCCTCTGTCCCTGGAGTCCGGTGTGTGAGACGCGGGGCTGCCTCCGGTAGCTGGAGGGAGGAAGAGGGAAGACTCCAGAGTCGTTCGTTCATTCATTCATTCAACACTTTGGGTGCCCAGCGCTTCTAGGTATGGGGAACAGAGGTGAACAAAAGACACGCCCTGCAGCGGGGAGGAGATGGCAGGCGTCATTTACAGGAGAAAAGGGTCTAATTATCAACTGGAAAGTGTTTCAAAACCTCTGGGTGACCACACTTCTCCAGGCACTCGAGAAACAGTAGGGCTGGAGATGTGGCTCAAGCGGTAACGCTCACCTGGCATACGCAGGCGGTGGGTTCGATCCTCAGCACCACATAAAATAAAATAAAGATGTTGTGTCCACCGAAAACTAAAAAATAATTTTAAAAAAGAAAAAAAAGAAACAGTTTGGGACCCTTTGAGGCTAACTGCTTTCTCCTGGATGCCTTTCTTCATCCCCTCCTCTTTTAAATGAGATCTGGAGATTCAGGATGGTTTGGCCATAGACTTCAGCTAGTTCCCCAAAGCCAGTTCCTCTGAAGTCTTGCAAAAGAAGTCAGTATGCAATTAGAAAGCAAGGACACCAGGAAAGGCTGGACTCCGGAGGAATAAAATAGGGGTCTGCAATCAAACAACCAGCACCCTGGTTCCCTCTGCAGCACACACACCAGCTGGGCCTGTGAAACCCAAAACTGATATCAGGCAGCAGGGCAGGGCTGCAGTGAGTGAGAAGCTAGGTGTCTTCTGCACACCATCCACTGAACAAATGAAGAAGAATCCAGAATGATTTCAAATTTCTCCTAAAAATTGGAACTTGGGGAGCTGGGGTTGTGGCTCAGTGGTAGAGTACTTGCCTAGCATGTGTGAGGCACTGGGTTCAATTCTCAGCACCACATATAAGTAAATAAAGGTCCATCAACAAGTTTTATTTATACATACATACACACACATATATAATACATATTAATATATATTATATAAAAGAAACTGTTCAGTGAAACATTGAATACAAGGGCTGGGGATATAGCTCAAGGTTTAGAGTGCTTGCCATGCATAAGCCCCCAGTACAGGAAGAAGAAGAAGAAGAAGAAAAGAGAAGAAGAGGAAGAGGAGGAAGAGGGGGAGGAGGAGGAGGAGGAGGAGGAGGAGGGAAACACTGGATGTAAAAGGTGAAATGGGTGAAGGACCCAGAGGAGTCACCAGGAGGAAACCAATTTGGCTAATGGACTTGCTGAGAAATGTCCAGCCTCAGTAATTAAATAAATGCAAATCAAAGCCACAGAAGGAGCTGCCAGTTGTCCGTAAGGGGTTAGCACAGAGTTGGAGGTTGGAGGAATGACATTACTCATGGCCAGGGGGAAGTGGGTCAGCAGGTGGCATGGAACTGGCCTTTTGTCAATCAGTGCCTCTGTGTTAAAGGAGTTATTTTCTTTGATGTGTGACTTCTTCATCCCTGGAAGTCCATCCAGTCTTAAGTACAGAAAAGGCATTTTGACCAAAGATATTCATGCCTAGTTTATTTATATTTGGAAAAACAAACAAAAATAAAAACTTGTAGGGCAACAGCAAATACATCCTCTGAATAGAATTTATAAAAATGACATTTTCAGGGTAAATATGGACAATGCTTGTGATTTGTAGGAAATTAGAAAAAGGGGAGTATAAAGATTTGTAGGAAGGTATAAAATGAAAAAAATTTAAAACTTAATAAGAGTAACATTTTAAAGAAAAGGCTTGCCCAAGGTACTGCCATGACCAGTTGTCCTGAACTCATGGGAATTTCTTTTGATCAGGTCTGGTGGAACTCAACAGATGCCCACAGTTGGGGTTCCTGGACTCCCCGCAGGGGTTCCAGTTGAAGGTGAACTGCAGGATTGAGTGGTGCTGAAGGCCTCTCCCTGGAGCCTGCCTGCTGCGTTCTGAGAGGGCACCCAGAGCCAGGATGCACTGCAGCTGGAGTTTCCTCTCCAAGGAATCCCAGCTAAAAGATTAGAGCTTCTTGCTCTCCCACTCAGTGCAGACAATCCCAGGGCAGGACGTTAATGGGAGCCTGACTTCTGGTCCCATGGTTGACCCATAATGGCCTCAGGAAGGGTGTGGTAGAAGAAAGGAGGGAAGAGCTAGGTCAGTCAGACGCAGTGTCACTTTGCTCCCAGGCAAGAGTGCAAGAAAAAAAAGACATTTTCATGCATCATGAAAGCTCTCAAAAGCTTTCCCCACACACCCTACTCCTGGGAAGCCACTAAAGGAAAGATGTTCTCCCAGAGGAGTAAATCAAGGAAGCAGAAGATGTAGGCTGTAGGAAACAGAGAGTGGTCAAAGAAGAGCAGTGAAGGAACCCTTACCATAGTATGAGGATAGTGCTCCAGTTTAGGCCGGCTGCTCATCAGCCTTGAGACTCCAGAGATGGGGTTGCTGCTACTGCCATCAGCACCTCCCCCCCCCCACAGCATCATCTTTAACCTGATGAGGCCACTGTAGGATGTGCTCCATCAGAACGAGATAAGCAGAGAAAGACGTGAGATCCAAGACACAGGGCATCCAAATCAGGAGAAAGGCAAGTGCACCCAAGGAAGACAGTAGTCTCTAGAGAGCCGCAGTCCAGAGGGAAGGCAAAGGGGACACAGCACAGGAAGATGCAAAAGCAACCAAGTTCCTCAGCCACCTGAAGTTCTGTGTTCACAACATTAATGTCACTGGCCCACTTGCTCCCACTATTGGCCTGGAATAACTTTTTCCACCCTTTCTTTTCTTTCTTCACTGTTTTCCAGATGAGGTGATCTCCCCAGCCCCCATCAGGTCTTCTCCACTACTGGAGTCCCTGGCCAGGCCTCCTGTAGGCTGGAGGCCAAGGGAGCCAGCTCCGCCTGCAGGTCACATGAGGCATCGAGTCAGGGGCTTAGTCACAGATGTGGTCCCAGTTGGTTCTGGTTCTCCCTGCTCTGGCTTGACATTTTCTCCATCAGCTGTCGTAGCAGCAAGTCCCTGGGCACAGTGCCCTCTCCGCCTCCCTTGCTCTCAATATGCTGCACATAAAAGTGAACCTTACGCTTAATGCCTGACTCCACATCACTCCTGGGGGTTCTGCTTCCCCACCAAAACTAACGGGAATACATGAACGTATTTTGCATCAATGTCATTTCAATAGTGGAAATCAAAAGACCATTGATTCAATAAACATCAGTGAAAAAATTAGCAAATAAAATTGGAAAATAGTTTATCTTCATGTCATTCAAAAACTTATTTTTAAAATCCAAAACTATAGGAATATTGAAAAGATATGTTTATAATCCTGGAATACAAAGTACACACATAAATACTGAAACATCTAAATGTATCAAGATTAAAAACTTTTCAGAGGCAGCTTCGTTTTTCAGGTTTGGCATAGCCTTTTTTTTTTTTTTAGGCAAATTCTCACTGTATTGCCTAGTCTGGCCTTGAACTCCTTGGCTCAAGAGAGAGATCCCCCTGCTTCAGCTTCCTGAGTAGCTGGTATGAGAAATACAAAGTCTGGTGGTCCACTTTCAGAATATAGAATTCAGCCTTAATTGGATCCAATTGTAGCCATTTTAATTATAGCCCTTCCCTTTTGCCTGCCCTAATTTTAGAATTAGCCAATCGCAGAGATTGTACCTTTGAGTCTGCCAATAAGGGTGAAGGGCCGTGCTGTTAGGTATATAAACCAGGGGACTGCCGCCCAGGTGTGCTTGCTAGCCAGGTTCTGTAGCATGCCCTTGTGTCAGAAGTAAATGCCTTGACTGCCTACTTTCCAGCACAGGTGTTTGATTTCTTGGGCACCTTGGTATATCTAACACTGGAACTGTAGGTGCACCACCATGCCTGGCATATTGTTAAAAACAAAAACCTCAGAGAATTGAATTTGAGTCATGACATCCAGCTACATGCTGAAGTTGGGCAAAATTTTCCTGGTGCTGTACATGCACGCATGTGTGTGGGTGTGCAAGAAAGACACAGAGGGACAGAACCGTGTGTTTAAACACAGCATCATGGGCTGGGTGTAGAGTCAGTAATCTTTGGACTCAGTATCCCTTCCTGGCTGGATTGGGAGGAAAGTGGGAGATACAACTAAAGGCTGGGAGAGACAGGGAGGTCAAGCCTGGAGAATAACAGACCCCCGCTTGGTCAAGAACTCTGCCCCACAGCTGGCCATTATTGCTAAGCCTCGGCCAGGAGAAATGCCATCTCTTTCAGCTCCATCTCCCATCTGCGTCTGCATGCCTTTTCTGTTACAGGGCCTCCACAAACCCGGGCCTTTCCAGGCCTTCTCAGCCTGGGGTCTCCACTTGTTGTGTTCTTTGTTTTTGTTTTTCCTGTAATGGGGATTGACACAAAGGCAGTGTACCACCAAACTATATCCTCAGCCCTTTTTGAAAGTTTTGAGACAATTCTCACTAAGTTGCCCAGGCTGGCCTTGAACCTCCCATCTCAGCCTTACAAGCTGGTAGGATTGCAGGCATATGCTACCACACCTGTTTGCCATCCCCTGTGGATGGAACCCAGGGCCTTGTATATGCTAAGCAGGTGCTCTACCACTGAGCTGTACCCCAAGTCCTGTCATCCTTCTTTTGACTGCTACCCTCTGACTGTAGGGTCAAGTGGCAGCTTCCTTGGCAGAATGAGACACTCTTTAGCCCTTAGACCTCCTTATTTTAACCAATGCACTCATCACACTCATAGTAACTGTCTATTTGCTGTCTCTTGCCCCAAGGTCCATGTGTTGTGGATCACACTCACCTCTATCACCCCTTTCCTACTAGAAGGTCCCACATATGTAGGTCCCACACCCGTATGCACTGGTCCAGGTCTGGGTCTTCACAAAACAGCCTACAGATGCCTGGTTCTCATCCCAAAGCAAATTTGGATTACATCACCCAACTCAAAGTGCTTCCCTAGCTGACCAACTTTCACCTTTGCAACTTCAGTTAGCAGCCCTCAAGGCCTTGTGTGCAATGAGGGTTATTAGGACAATTAGAAAAACTTCAGGTGCTGTAGTCAGCATCAAAGTTAAGCAAGCTGCTCTTAAGGAAACTGGTGGAGCCCAGTTTAGCAGGTAATATCCTTCCTCCCCTAAACACTGAGCACCATGTGTCAGACCCGTGCTGGGCCTTCAGTAAAAGGAAATTGCCTAGATTCTTTCTCTGGCCACAGGCTCTAGCCATGTTCTCCTGTATTCTCTGATTCCAGTAGTGTGCAGCTGAATGTTTAGCAACTGACTTCCTGGAAGAGGAAGCGGGGGTCGGTGGGGAAGGGTGGAAGGAAAGAAGGAAATCAGTCAGTCCTGAGTTCTGGAGTTTGCTAGCTTCCATGATGTATATATTCCCATCATGGTTGATTTCAAGCCACCAATACTCACTGAAAATGTGGTGTAGCAGCTTTGTGGACAAAGGTAAGGAAGAAGGGCAAGTAAGCCATTTGTGGACAGCAGGTAAGGAAGAAGAGCAAGTAAGCCATTAAAGGAATGAGAGAAAGAGGGGGAGAGGGAGCATTTAGTAGAGTAGGTCCCCACTTACTCATATTTTGTTTTCTGTATTTGCAATTACTCAGGGTCAATCAAGATCTGAAAATTTTAAAGTTTCAGAAATAAATAATTCATAGTTTAGAAAAAAATGTGGCGTAGCACACCATTATAAGGTACCCCCTACTGTACAGATACAATAGACATAAATAATTCCAAGAACTTAGTAGTAAAACGTAGCAAAATAATTAGTAATGAACTTTGAATATTTTGTTTTTAATGCAACTTATTAAATTGTAGGTTTATCTAATTTAATTTTTAATGGCAACATATAAGTGTGGATTTTTAATTTTTTTTTTTTTTTTTTTTTTTTAGCGCTGGGGATGAACCCAGGCCCTCGTGCATGCTAGGCAAGCGTTCTATCACATCTCCAGTCCCCGCAAATAATGTTTGGAACATGCATCTTGCAAGATGCCTGAGAAATGAACCATCAGTTCCAGCAGCTTAGGCACCGCTGTCACTCGGTTCCCGATGGCGCTCACCTCCCTATCCCAATGGGCACCAGAGCTAGAGGACGAGGCTGAGGCTGGAGCGACAGACGTGCCCGCGGCCGAGGGAAGAACGCGGAACCCAGCCGCCCGACCTCTCCCTGGGTTTTAAGAGAGTCCTGGCACCGAGCGGGGTAGGGTCCTAGGGCGTCGTGCGTCAGCAGTCCGCACAAGCTCAACCCGCGTTCAGAACCGGATGTTTCCTGGCTGCGCTCACCCCCAGCCTGCGCAGGCGCACCCTGGCTGCGTTAACAGCCTCTAACCGGCAGCCTCTGCGGCCGGAAGTTGGCCAGCCTTCCCGGCATTCCTAGCGCAGTGACCGCACTTCCGCTGGCTGGGGAAGCAGAGCAAGACCAGACCTGAATTGGTTGAAGTTATCTAGTTTATGTTTTTCCCCCATACCGAGCCCAGCCTGATTAATGAGGCAGGAGTGATCACCTGAGTCGCCCTGAGGCGGCAACTCCAGGGGAGATGTAGGGGAAGGTCCCCAGGATTCTGGTGGAGTTGGCCTGAGGGAGAAAAGCTGGGGTTTGCAGGAGGAAGCCTGGCTTCTCCACCCGGATCTTCCTCCAACTCTGTGCGTGACCTCGGGCAGAGTATTTGATGCCTGGGCCTTGTGCCTTCGGAGACTGCTTCTTCCCTGACCCCCCATTTCTGTTTCTTGTTGGCTGACTGTGTCTGTACCCTTGTCAAATGCTGGCTCCCTGAAAACGCCATCAAAACAACCAGCGATAAGAAAGATGATTTTTTTTTTCCTCCCAAGAGATGGCACTTTACTGGAAAAGTCTCAGAATGGAAGTGTGGAGAACAAAATTGCGGTACTGAGGCCTGGGAGTCTGGTCCTTTGTTGCAAGTCCCAGTTAGGGTTAGGATGGTGTTAGTTTAGTATTAAACACCTCCAGTAGTTTAGAGTTGTTGGTCACTAGTTCTTTAATATTGGTGGTCATATTGAGGAAAGGACCTGGAAGAGTCTTGGAGCTTTGTTTGCTGTTGGAAAGTCGTATGTTTAGGTGGATTTTCCAAAACTTAGTAAGTAAGCTTATTTGCAGTTTTTGTCTTCCTGGACAAGTGTTTCCTGGAATGACAAAGTCAGACGATACAGTCATATTATTTTGCTTCAACCAGCGTGAGTTGGAGTTCTCTGTTATTTGCATCCAGAGGCATCTGTTATGGTTTCTCTTGTGTAAAATGAGGATCGTATTGAAGGGAGATGGGGAGGAGCTGGATATACAACGAGAGCATGTTGTTTGCAGTCTTTTGGTACTACAGCAAAGTAGGGCTTACAAAAAGTTCTGAGTCCCCCAAACTACTCTCAAATAGGAAAAGGAGCTGTCAAATGGGAATGACTAGGTGTTTATTAAGTTTCTTACAAATAGCTATGTCTGGTAGTCAACTGCAACACAAAACATACAAGAGCATTGTGTTTTCTCCTAAACTGCGGAGAATACAGGCAACTTTGTGTTGGTAAAACTAAAAACACTTCAGGCTTTTTGAGATCTTTAATATGGCCCTATGAAGTTTGAATCCTGGCCTTCCTGCGCACCAATCATGTGAACTGGAGCCAACTCCTCCCTCTATGAACTCATGTCTTCATATGTACAGCAAGGATTATGATGAAGTGAGGTGGTGTGTTGAATACAGCAGTCAGCAGTTGTTTGAACAGAAGCCCAAGTGATCCTGGATGTAGTTTGAGCTCTGCAAACTGGATCTGGGACAAGAAACCCTGCAAGAGACATGTATCCATAGGAAGCAACTTTGAAAGGACTCAGAGGGTTATCAGATGGGAAGAAACAAGAGAAATAAGGTTGATGTTAGCCACTATCCCAACCCAGGGAGTCTGGAACTCAGTTCCTGCACTAAGCTGAATATTTAGCAGTCAGTTCTTTATAGGCATAAAGCAATGACAACAACCCTGGAAGCCATCCATCTCAACTGGCATTACTGTAATTACTGTTTTGGGGAAAGTCTAGTGGAGGGACTGAAACAACTGGGCAGTAAGGGGCATCTAGGGGGCTGGGGAAGTAACTTTTAACCAACTCATGGTTCAAATACTCTTAGGCCCCATTAGATCAATGACTGAAAATCTGCTGTGCTTGGAGGAGCATGGGGCTACCAGGAGTGGGGCAAATGTACGTTGGCAGACAGCTCCATGTAGATAAGGCATGAGTGAGGAATCCATTCTGATCAGGGTACCTCTCTAAGTACTCCTGGCCCTAGTACCTGAAGTCTGGCATCTACAGGTGAAGTCTGATGTATACCAGTGGAAAGTTGGAACTGTGCCCTCTTGTGGAACTTTGCTAGGGTTTCAAGACCTCCTATCTTGCACTTGGGGAAATCCTTCTCCTTACCATTTCTGGCTGAGGTACTTCCTGTTTCCTCTCATCCTTAAACCAGTTCTCTTCTTTTTCACACCAGATGTTGAGACCACATAATTAGCAACTGAAAAATTACTTCATGTTGCCTCAAGGGCAAGAAAGTCTGAAGCTTCAAATTCCACCAGTACGTAAGGAGAAATATTTGCATGCTTGCTATTTTTTCTATGATAAAAGAAGGAAGAAAAATCACCCAATCCTGAGCATAATTCAATTACATAATTAGATGTAGATAGATAGATATAGATGTCATCAAAGGCTGTAAATAAATTCATAACCTTTGACCTGTTTCCCTTCTAGGAATCTAATTTGAGGAAGTAATTAGAGATGCTTTCAAAGATTTTGGAAGAAGATGGTTTCGTTGCTTTATATACAACAGTAAAAGGAATGAATGTCCAGTTTCAGAGTAAATGGGTTTAAGTATCACATATGATACATTATGTGATGAAATATTATATAAATATTAACAATCATGTTATGAATGAATAGTTTGTTGACATGAGAATATGCCAAAATATGTTAAATTTCAAAAGCAAATTTTAGAAAAGAAACAATATGATTTTTTATTTTTTAGTACTGTAGATTGAATGCAGGGGCATTTTACCACTGAGCTACACCCGCAGACCTTTTTATTTTTTATTTTGAGATAGGGTCTCACTAAATTGCTTAGGGCCTTGCTAAATTGCAGAGATTGACCTCAAATTTGGAATCCTCCTGCCTCACCTCCTGAGTCACTGGGATTACAAGTGTGTTCCCGTGGTGCCCAATGTAGTGGGATCTCTTTTTTTTTTAAGTATTTTTTTTAGTTGTCAATAGCCATTTATTTATTTATACATGGTGCTGAGAATTGAACCCAGTGCCTCATACATACTAGGCAAGCGCTCTACCACTGAGCCACAATCCCAGGCCCACTCACAATGTGATCTTAACACAAAAAGAAAAATATATAATCTATAACTTGTTTTTTATAACTTGTTTTAATCTATAATTAAGTAAAAATTTATAAACTGTTTCATTGAATTAACACAATTAGAGAACCATAATGTGCCAGAAACTAGGATATAAAAGTAAGCTGTTAAAAGTATAGTTTTCAAAAATATAAAAGTATTACTTTCAAGTAGGAATAAAATAAACATGAGCCAAATATTTTTTTTTAAAGAGAGAGAGAGAGAGAGAGAGAGGAGAGAGAGAATTTTTAATATTTATTTTTTAGTTCTCGGCGGACACAACATCTTTGTTGGTATGTGGTGCTGAGGATCGAACCTGGGCCGCAGGCATGCCAGGCAAGCGTGCTACCGCTTGAGCCATATCCCCAGCCCGAGCCAAATATTTTAATTCTGCCTGTATTCCCTGCAATTTAGGAGTCTTGAGACAGGAGGATTGCAAGTGTTAGAAATACCTAGATGCTTCAAGAATCAAATGTATTCAAAAGTGGGTGGGCAAAGCAAACTTTTACTTCTACCAGAAGGTGTGCTAGAGAACCTGGCTGTCAAGCTGCCTGGACAGGCAGTCCATCTATTTACACACTTAATTCAGCGCTGCCCTTCACCCTGATTAGCCAATCTACAGGATTGGATCATTTTAAAACTGGAGCTGGCAAAGAGAAGGGCTATAATTAAAATATTATAATTTGATCCAATTAAGACTGAATACTTTGTTCTGAAGATGGACCACCAGACTTAGTATGTCTCCCACAAGTTCAAGGCCAGCCCCAGTAATTTAATAAGACCCTAAGCAACTCAGACCCTGTCTCTAAATTAAAATATAAAAAGGGCTAGGGATGTGACTCAGTGGTAAAGTATCCCTGGATTCAATCCTCAGTACAAAAAAATTAATTCATTAATGATGAGTGAGGAAATTAGTAAGATGTTGAGAATGGTCTAAAAGATAATCTATAGAAATATAACACCCATAGGGGAAACTGGGAATGCTGAAATCAATTATTAATGGATGCAAAATTGGTTCGCAGTAAGAGCAACAAAATATGATGTTTGGGATCACCTTTACTACAAGATGGAGGGGAAAATCTGTTTGTAAAATAGCCCAGTCAAAGACAAAGGCACAAAGGACCCAATATATCAGATAACACCAAAGGATCTGCCAGATGATGCTTGGCATTTCTTTGAAAGGACTCCTAACTCCTCCTTTGCCCATTTCAAAATTGTTCACAATATTTCCTAAGACATAAGATCCTAATGAAGCCTATGGTCTACTAAGCCAGTCCAATAAAAAAAGCACATTATAAAAACTTTAATAATAGGACTGGGGATGTGGCTCAAGCGGTAGTGCACTCGCCTGTCATGCGTGTGGCCCGGGGTTCGATCCTCAGCACCACATACAAAACAAAGATGTTGTGTCCACCAAAAACTAAAAAATAAATATTAAAATTCTCTCTCTCAAAAAAAACTTTAATAATAAATGAAGAGGTTGGGGCTGGGATTGTGGCTCATTTGCCTAGCATGGGCAGGACCCGGGTTGGATCTCAGCACCACATACAAACAAAGATGTTGTGTCCGCCAAAAAATAAATATTAAAAAATTCTCTCTCTCTTTCTCTTAAAAAATAATAAAATAAAGGCATTGTGTCCATCTACAAAAAAAGATATCCCCTCTCTCTCCTCCCCCACTCTTTCAAAATAAATAAATAAATGAAGAGGCTACAGTTAAAGGACAATTTCTTTTCCAGAAAGGCAAAATTATGACTTTATCAATTAATGAGAAAACTAGTTAAGGTATTGCAGCATCTTCAGAGGAGGGCTTAAGCTGGGTACAGTGGCACACACCTGTAATCTCAGTTACTTGGGAGGCTGAAACAGAAGGATCACAAGTTTGAGGCCAGACTTGGCAACTTAGGAAGACACTCTCAAAATTAAAAAAAGAGTGGTGGTATGGCTCAGTGGTAGAACACCCTTGGATTCTATCCTCAGTAACATGTTTGAAAAAAAAAATGGGACTCAAGCAGTACCTGCTTATTGTCAGACACAGATGATAGATGAACTTGCCAACAGATACAAAGCTAATGTCACCCACTGATAAACCTAGCCTAATTAATTTCCTCCTAAGATCAGGAGCCATCTTATCAAAAGTTATAAAAGATTCATTTCTGTTTTCTGTAAAATATTAGGATTTCTTTTTGGCCTGGCTGTATTTTGATATTTTCAACTTGCTTGGAATGCCTGCCTATGCCTTGAACTCACCCATGCCTGGCTTTCTCTGACCAAACAATAGCCCTCTCTGAAACCTTAATGGCACTTCATAAATTCTTTTTTTTTTTAAGATATTGATGGACCTTTTTATTTCATTCATTTATATGTGGTGCTGAGAATGGAACCCAGTGCCTCACACATGCTAGGCAAGTGCTCTACCACTGAGCCACAACTCCAGCTTGCGCTTCATAAATTCTTATGTCACGATCTAAATTTACTCCCTAAGTGCTGAACCATTTAGACCATTAACCTACTACCTACCTTTGTGTTATGCTTGTCAAAATCCTGTTATCTGTAAGTTCTCAAGGCACCCTCCTTTTTACAAATTTTTGTGTTATAAAATTGTGTTTCTAGAGAGCTGGAGCACTGTCCTCTAACCTGAGGATTTCGGGAGAGACATCCCAGCCAGTCAGAATTTCAAGCTTGCTTTAATTTGATTTAAAATTGGAGATGGTGGTCTTTTCTTTGTGTCGTGGTTTAACACCACTATGGACAGTTTTCATTTATGTGAACAAGAGTTGTTTGCTCTGCTGTTTTTTGCAGTTCACTTGTGTCTCTGTGCTCCTTGTTTGTGTCTAACACCTCTAATCAGAGAAAAGCACTCACAGCTTCCCTGGAGGATCAGCAACCTCCTGAGAGGATTTCCAGTAATTTCATAGAGTAATTTCAGTAATTTCCCTACAGGGACAAGTAAAAGAATGAAAGAAAGGATGTCACTTTAAGTCCTGAGGAGACTTTGCCAGTTCTGAACAAGAGCCTTCCAGATAGATGAGATGGCCCAGTGTGGCAAAGGCCTTGGGTGGAAAGGGGCTTAGAGAAAACAGAGGGCCAGTGTAGCTGCAGAGGATGAGCCGGGAGCAGTGGTATTTTGAAAGCAGAGCCCTCCACAGTGCAGATGGCTCAGAGCCTGCCTTGTGCCAAGGACATACAGCTGAGTTTGACTCTCCTTCTAAGAGTGTGGGCAGCCAGTCTGAAAGAATTCGCATACTTCCCATGATCAGGGAAGCTCTGTCGGTCACTTTTTTAGTGACTTGGATATTGCCCTGATCCTCGAAGTAGCAGAATGTGTCTTCAGATGTAGGCATGTAGCCCCATGGATTCAGCGACGCTCATCTGTTCCTTTGTGATATTACCCTTTTGCTCTGTTTGGGATAGGATGTTCCATGGACGTCCTTTGTGTGTCCCCTTCTCTTGCTCTGCCTTTGGGTGTGGCCTTCCTAGATGTCAGTCAACCTGCTGACAGCAGACATCACAAAGCTAGACTCAGCCCCCTGAAACTTGACCCTTTGCCTCATTTGAGTGGCTTCTCCTCAATAAAAGGGTTCAGCATGTGCTCTCTTTTTCTGCAGACCCTTAAGGTCAGAAAAGCCATCACAGGACCCCAAAGATGAAGGTATCTTTGTGTCTTGTGTGGTTATTTTGTGCAGCCCAGTTCCTCTGGAGTGACCCTGAGTGTTTTAGTGAGGAACGCTACACAAGAGCAGCGAGAGATGTGAGTTTTCAGTTAGGAAGTGCTGAATCTCATTTATACTGTTAAGCATCTTTCAGCTTCCCCACACACCTGCATCTCTCCACCCCAGAACCGGCTCCTGGTTGGAGGAACGAGCCACACTCTGGCCCAGAGCTGCTTTTGGGGGGGGGGCAGGGGAGCAAGGGGACAGGCGGGCAGTCAGGACCCTGTTGCACCGTGGGAAATATTTTCTTTTCTTTTTCCTTTTATTTATTTTTTTGGTACTGGGGATTGAACCACTAAATTGCTATGGCTGACTTGGACTCACAATACTCCTCCTGCCTCAGCCTCCTGAGCTGCTGGGATTACAGGTGTGCGCCACCTTGCCCACCTGGCTGCCGTGTGTGAAATTGTTGATGGGTCTGTGCACATGGAAAGTGCCTGATCCGGACTGGGGCTGTGGCTCAGTGGTAGAGCACTCATCTAGCATGAGCGAGGCCCTGGGTTTGATCTTCAGCACCATATAAAAATAAATAAAATAAAGGTATATAGGTGTCCAACTATAGCTAAAAAAATAAATATTTTTAAAAAAGGGAAGTGCCTGATCCTCTAGCTTGTTTTTTTTTAATTTTTAATATTTATTTTTTAGTTCTTGGCGGACACAACATCTTTGTTGGTATGTGGTGCTGAGGATCAAACCCGGGCCGAACGCATGCCAGACGAGCGCGCTCCCGCTTGAGCCACATCCCCAGCCCCTCCTCTAGCTTGTTTAGAGCCCCAAACACCATGTTGTGGTTGGATGAATGTGGATGGGAAGGAGA